CGAACGTTTTCTGAAGTAGCACGAATGTTGGTTCAGTGTAAATGAGTATAAAAACAAAGCGAGAGAAAGATGGAGGGAAGGAGAGCAAAGAAAAGAAAGTCAAATGTTGTCTGCTTTACCAGAAGTGGGACACAATGCGGAAGCGGCATTGAGGCCGAGTCAACAGGCTCATAGCTGACGTAGAAGATCTGGCATGAGCAACGCGAGATCATTCTTTGCAGTTGAATGGGTGACGTTGTCACTCGACTCGCCTCGCCAGGAGTCAAGTTTCCGGCCACACCGGACATCTGCCAGTAGGTGTTGGCTGCAGACAGAGAGGAACTGGCTACATCAGCGGAGGTGACGTTGTTCTGAGAAGATGGACGGGAATTGGAGAGGCCAGAAGAGATGAAGGAGCCATGCGCAGATGGAATATTCGCAATGGCGGGGCCAGAGGTGGTGTTTGCTGTCGTCGGGACACCGGATGGAAACGAATGCGACAACGAACCGTCGCCCGAGGCCCCTCGGCCTTGGAGGAGGCGCGAAGTCAACGCTAACGACTGTGGAGGTGTGTTTGGCAGCGGGTGAAAGGGACCGACACATGCGGTGACTACCCCACCAACAGCTCTACCACAGCCGACTACCTCAGGCCGACCTGATAAAGCGTCCTCGCAATTGTCGGCACCCGGCTCAGCTGATAGATCGGCAACGTCTTGTGTAGAAAGCCACTGATCTGGGGTGCCTGAATCGACCTAGGCAGAAACAGCAATACATGCAGCTATGCGAATGGTACCAAAAGACTTCTCTACGAGTGAGCATACAATAGCACGCTTCCATTAAGGAAATGCTATAAAATGTTAATTTCACTTAACAACTGCTCCGAATAGGCTGCATATAAAGGCGTTGAATTATTATACCATTTATGGTCATATAAAAAGATTTAGAATAATCCATGTTTGACATAGCTAGTTCATAGTCACCGTAGGAGCCGTCGCCTTCTGGTGAGATCGACCTTCGAATCTCTTCTTCATGCACTTTCATTCGAAGTTAAAGTCTCGCTAACCATGTCAACTCAGAAGATTCATCGTATCTTCGTATCACATGTTCGGCTTAGCTTTAGTGGTTCAAATCCAAAGAGGTTTCCTGCATGAGCGGACATGCATGCAAAGCGTTTAGGAAGATACAGCTTCTATTCAAGGGTAGACGAGATCGTGCTCTGTCCTAAGATCTGAACAAAGAGCTCGAAAAACAAATTGCTTACGGCACATGATATGATCAAAATAAAATAGGCCTCACCTGTCCTACAGTGGCATAGTACTGAACACATTCCAGTTGTCCTACCAGACTCGTTTTGTTAAGGAGCTGTGACTCTCGCCAGACGGGCGGATGTTCAAGATTGTCCAGACGAGCTTGGGCAGCACTCACGATCACATATCCGGCCAAATCTGTGGTTTTCAGCATGATCTGTAAATAGATATTACGCGACAATGAGTGAAATGGCAAATAGAGCAATAGATTTAGTGTACCTATGAAGACTAGGTTGGTGTGGACTCAGGTTTGGTCACGATCTGACTTAGCTACAAGACTTCGTTTCCGCAATTTAATAGGGGGTGAGAAGGGGAACTTGTAGAAGTTACCCATTTCTCGGTCCTCTGCGAAAGCAGTAATGACAATCACCAGATACTTCACTGGCGTCATCAATGAGGGACGCCAGTCTTAGAGCAGCGTTACGAATCATCAAAGAGACAAGTGAAGTCCACCTCTTACCCGATGTTATGGTGAATTGTTGCGATTTCACTTCGCCTCTGCCCTGGTAGATCCACCTACACACATCCTAGTTTCTCACAACCTTAATCATAACTTTTAGCTTAGAGCCATGCTCGGTGCTGTCAAAAAGCTAAGGCATATAATGACAGCTAACACCTCGAATATAACGGACCAAATGAAGTGAATCAGACAATTAGATAAGAAACGGGTTTATTAAAGCACTAAGGAGATTCTCATAAGAGTCGAATAAGGTAGCTTGCAGACCAAATACGCCAATATTCAGTATATATCGAATAAGGGGATAATAGACTGAAATGCGAAGACTTACGTCTCTCAGTGACGATGCAGGCAAAACTTCTGGAATGGTACCAAATCAACGGTCCAATACTGAAACCTATCGTGCATACCATCGCAGAGAACACAGGACCGAGTACATTCAACAATATATCCGTGTAACCTTGAGCAAGATCCGCAAATGAAATCAAACAAACTTTATGTAGCTAAAGGAGATTGGAAATAAAATAGAGGCAACATCATCCTGATCCTACTACTTATGAGCAACTTTTATAATATGAGATGCATTCACCCGATTTCGTTTAAGGTGATGAAGGACTGGTAGAAGAATTTTCCCACAATGATATAAGTTAAGCTGACGTTTTCATTAAATTTCACATAACCTTGCTTTCCCAAAAGTTGTTCTCATCCAGGCACCAGTGGACTGCAGTTTCGACCTCGCATCGGTCTTAGCAACACCCTCAGCGGGAGTCAACCGCGAA